AACCCTTTAGGTTGTTTCTTACTTAGAAACTGTTTAGGGTCAGTGCCCCGTCGTTTCTTTCTTTTCTCGTCGAGTCTCTCAGTCGAGGCGATTCCTATAGGCTTAGAAACTACTGCCAAGATGCAAAAGTCGTAGGCCTTTATTCAAAGTCGGATTTTAAACGAATACACGCGACTGACCTCTTACTGGTAGTATTTCTTTAAGTGGGTTACATTTCAGATCCAATCAACGGGCCTTCCTTCCAGAGTTTCTAGCTTGTACGTGCCAGCTTGGACCACAGCAGCAATGCGGTAGGGCCCTTCCCACTTGGCAGCGAACTTTCCTCCCTCCGTGGGTTGACTAGCCTGTCGATCTCGTAGCACGAGGTCGCCTACCTGGAAGGCTCGTGGTCGAATTCGCAGATCCCTGTACCGCTTAACAGTCTGATGATATTCCACCATGCGGGCATGCGCGACTTCCCTTCGTTCCTCCAGGAAGTTCTTTTCGATCCTAAGGTTTTCCTCGTTCCCTTCATCCGAATAGTGGCGGACTCTGTGAGTGGGCTCGATGACCTCTACGGGTACCTTGGCTTCGAAGCCATATGCTAAGGAGAATGGGCTCTCGTCGGTTGCTTGTCTCTGGGTAGTTCGATACGCCCATAAGACTCGGTCAAGTTTATCCGCCCAGTTTCCTCCGACGTCTTCTAACTTCTTCCGGATACCATCGACGATCGTGCGATTTGCATTTTCAACCTGCCTGTTGGCCTAGTGGTAGGCAACTGACACCTTGGTGTGTCGTATGCTGTGTCATCGGCAAAAATCGGCGAAGGGTCGACAGTCGAATTGTCGGCCGTTGTCACTAATTATGTGTTCGGGTAGCCCGAATCGACAAATCACCTTTTTACATAGAAAACGTCGGCATTGATACTCGGTGATGGTTGCCAGCGGCTCGGCTTCGATCCATTTAGTGAAGTAATCAATAGCTACTATACAAAACTTTAAGCGTCCGGGGGCGACTGGCAGGGGGCCCAATAGGTCAATGCCCCATTTCGCGAACGGGATGACCGTGGTGACCGGTGTGTAAAAGGTAGCTAGTCGAGTATCCTTCCGGGCGAATGCTTAGCATACCACACATTTGGCTATCCATTCTATGCAATCTCTCATCATGGTAGGCCAATAGTAGCTCTGAACGACTGACTTTCGGGCAAGTGTGTGTGTAACACCCCCTAATTCCATGCTATTTAAAGCCTTAAAACATGCAGATATCTAAACCAAAACATCAAACACAGCGGAAGACTGAAAGAGGGAAATATATAAAATAGAAGAAACGGGGTGCTATGCCACGCTCACCCAAAGGTGAACGCACAGGCTACATCTGCATTGTTTAACATCTAAACCAACATAACAGAGTACTAAGTCTCAATTGGCTCACAGGCTACAAAACATAAGAGGGGAGCTACACTAGCTGGCACTAAACCGCGCACTCGTCTAAGCATCACCTGAAAGAAGCATATAAAACAGGGGACGACGCCCGGTCAGCGAATAATGCTGGTAACCCACCAATACATGTGAAATATCATACATAGATAAGATATAAGTTTGTAAAGCCATTTTCGAAATGGGATACATATATATAAGTTCAAAACCAAGAGTAATAGTCAATACAAGACTCAAACACTCTCAACAAGAACACGGGAACACATCCCAAGACTACAAGAACAACAATGACTCACAAGAAGTCTCAAGGTATAATCTATCATCACACAATAGATTAATACCCGACATGCATAACTCAAAGGAATAAGGACACAACAAATGACAACACATGCCAAGGCAACACATACCTTTGTGACTACACAGTCACAAGAAGAGAACTCACAACAACGGCTACACAAGCCCTCATGACATCACCTATCGCGAGTTGATATGCCTTCTTTATGCCCGGTTCCAACCTTATGGCTACCCTCAACCTTATATCTAGTTCCAACCTTTACCTCCAGGACCCCTGTACACCAAGTCCAACCTTATTCCCCTGGGAACCGTCGTTCCCCCTCCAACAGTCCCTCCAACAGAACCACCAATTTCATAGTACACGAGGGTACCGATCACACATGGCAACACATGCCCTGGATAACACATGTTATCCCAGAAATAAACACGTGAACCTTACACAAAGGCCACAAACTCCATAATCACGTCATGGCCACCACGAGGACCACTGCAATACCTTGGGGACTAGTGTCCCATACCACTAATCGTGCAATCCAGGTAAAGCCACACACACACATCACACCTCAACATGAATCAATCAACGGATCACAACGAAGATATGAAATCATACTCAATCAAGGAATGGGTCACAGCCCAACAACAACGATGATTAACATAAGTCATCATCAACAAATAGGAATGTACAAACAACACACACGCTATGACGCTAGCATTTAAACACCGAACTAGCATGCTCATCAAACGGGTAAACCAAACGTAGTTCCGAAGAACACACAAGACTCATCACGGTTCAACGAAACACAATGTTGAACACTTAGCACGATTCAAGACACCAAAACCTACATGGATTCCTACCATATAGTTCTAGACATACGAAACATCAAGAAGACACTCAAACAGTCCCACAAAAGAACAACGGGAAGTCAAAAGATCAAATACCGAGTCAAAAGAATCACGGGGAACAAATCCCCAAACAACACCATCATGTTCCCCGCGGGTGGACCCACGGGTAGGCCCCTACCTGTGGTTCTGCCCGCGGGTACCAACACCCACAAGCCACGTTCCCGCGAGTGGGGCGCCGGGTAGGGCTCTGCCCGTCGTTCCGCCCGCGGGTACATACCTGTGCCCAAAATAATCCCTTCGGGGATTTTCAACACCAAGCTCAAATTCAAGTCCAAAACATGCCAAATCTCACCAAATACAACAAAATGACTTGAATTAAAGGAATAGCCAAGCAATGGCATACAAGAACCCTAAACACAAGCTCTAGATATGCATTTTCACAAGACAATGCATAAACACTCACATTTCATAGCAAAACACATGTAGAATTCAAGAAATCATCATATAGGTAAGCAAAATAGATTTTGTAGAGCATGGGTTACCTCTTTTAGACAAAAACCTTCACTTAACACCTCACCAAGCTCCTAACAAAGCTCACCTTCCAAACCCACTTCAAGAACACACCAAAAGATCATAAAGATTCTATCTTTAAGAAAAGACACCTAAGAAAACACTAAAAACACAAGATGAACATGGATCTTACCCTCCTAGATGCCCAAATGTATGAAAGGTAGAATCTTGGAGACAACTCTTGAGGTTTTGACAAAGCTTCAATTTGGCTTGGAAGAAAAGCTATCTACCTTTTTAGAGAGAAGGTGGAGCTAGAATTTGGAAAGTGTAAGGAGAGAAATGAGGGTGTTTTTACTAGGTTAGCTTACAATACTAACACAAGGTGAAAAGTCAAGAATACCCTTACTAACATGAAGAGGTGTAAGGGAACAAGGGAACTCCTTACAAAGCTCAAGGTACAACTTTGACTTTAGAGTTGACTAGTCAATTACTAGTCCCCGACTATTGAATTTTCAGGAATTTAAGGAATTAAATTACCAATTGAAATGGGATTAATTATTTAATTAATCCCTTAATCGAATTTGGATTATGGGGTGTTACAATGTGTGCGCCTTGGTGGGTCGCGCATATTCCACGGTGCGCCTCGTCTATTATCTTTTCTGCCTCCGTTCTGAGCAGACATTTGAGGAGAGGACCCCCAAACGATCGTTTATACAACTGTCCATCTATGATCTCAAATGAAGGAGCCTTGCAGCGACCGCGGGGTCGTCTGGCAATTCCCCCTTGTCCTTGTAGCGACGGATATCTTCTATCCAAAACATCTCGGGGTTTTTGTCACGATCCCATTCCAGGGTCGTCACTTGTTGAATCTCACTGGTTGTTTCCTCTATGCTGGGTCGAAGCAGTTCCTCCTTCTAGCAAATTCTCACAAGATGGTCCGGCACGCTTTCTAAGGTGATCTTCGATAGTATATCCGCCTCCATGTTGTCGGCCCGCGCGATGTATTCTATCTCATAGGCAACAAATCCCTTCAATAGTTCCGCTGTCTTCTCTTTGTATTGGGCCATCTGGGCGTTCTTGGCTTCGCAGGTTCCGGACACCTGTCCTACTACCAAGCGCGAGTCAGTCTTGATCCGCAGGCGATCCGCCCCTAACGTCTTGGCAAGTCGCAGACCTCCCAGTACTGCCTCGTACTCGGCCTCATTATTGGATGTCTGAAATAAGTAACTCAGAGCGTAGTAGAGCCTGCTCCCTTCAGGTGTGATCATCATGACTCCGAGGTCTTGTCATCTTCTCCCGCGGTGCACTCGACCAAGAAGTCGGCCAGGGCCTGCCCTTTAATCGAGGGGCGAGGCTGGTACTCGATTCCATATTGGGTTAGCTCTATCGCCCATTTCACGAGTCATCCGGATGATGTGGGATTCCTCAACACACTTCCCAGAGGTTGGTCTGTCAAGACTCGGACGGTATGGGCTTGGAAGTAAGGTGCTAGCTTCCGCACCGTGATCACCAAGGCGTAGACTATTTTTTCCAGAGAAGTGTACCGAGTTTCGGCTGATTTCAAGGAACGACTCACATAATAAACCGGGTGTTGCGCCTGTTCCTCTTCTCGGACGAGTACCGAGCTCACGGCCTTGGGAGACGTCGCCAGATATAAGAATAGAGGTTCACCGACCTGGGGGGTGGATAGCACCGGAGGTGTGGAAAGATATCTTTTTAATTCTTCAAAGGAGTGCTGGAACTTGGCCGTCCATGCAAACCGTTCTTTCTTCTTCATAGCCTCAAAGAAAGGTACGGTCTTATCTGCCGATTTACTTAGGAAACAGCTCAGGGCGGCCAGTCGGCCGGTCAATCTCTGCAAATCTTTAACAGTGCTAGGAGGCTTCATATCCATTATAGCCTGTACCTTCTCCAGGTTTGGCTCAATGCCCCTCTTGGTCACCATGTATCCAAGAATTTACCTCCTTGTACAGCAAAAGCGCACTTTTTGGGATTGAGCCGTAGGTTATATTTAAGCATTACCAGAAAGCAGTCGGCTAGGTCTCCGGCGTGGCCAGCTTCCTCTCGGATTTTCACCAGCATATCATCCACGTAAGCCGCCATGGATTTTCCTAACAAGTCTTGGAACAACCGGGCAACCATCCAGGTATATGTGGCCCCCGCATTTTTGAGTTCGAAGGGCATGACTTGGTAACAGTACACGCCATCCGGGGTCAGGAAGGCTGTCTTCTCCTCATCGGCCTTGTGCATGTAGATTTGGTGATACCCTTGAAAGGCATCCATGAAACTCAATAACGCCGACCCTGCCGTATCGTCGACCAGCTGATCAATCCTGGGCAAGGGGAAAGGATCCTTTGGACAAGTTTTGTTAAGATCAGTGTAATCCACGCACATCCTCCAGGCTGGTGGCTTTGACACAAGCACGACATTGGCTAACCATTCCGGATATGGTCGGTGGCTAACAGTGTGTTTACTTCCTGCTTGACGAATTCTCTACGATTATTGGCCAGGTACCGCTTTTTCTGGATCACAGGTCAGTGGCCAGGGTCGACGGTGAGCCGATGAGAGATTACAGACCTGTCCACTCCAGGCATATCTTCGGGCCCCCACGCAAAAACCAGGCGGTTTTCTCGGAGCACCTTGATGACTTCCTCTCGCACCTCCTCACGGAGGCTGACTCCAATCCTCACTCGCCTTTCTGGTCGAGACGGGTCAATCTCCACTTCTTCCAGTTCTACGGCTGGCTCGGGGCGAGGTGGCATCGTCTTCTTCGTGGGTCGTTCCGTGATCTCATGAACTTGCATCTCCCATTTGCCCATACCTCGGCAAGCTTGTAGGTAGCAGTCGCGGGCGGCCCTCCTGTCGAAACGCACCGTACCTACTCCGCTTGGTGTGCGGAATTTTAAGCAAAGATGCTCGATGGAGATCAAAGCTCCCAGATCTTCCAAAATAGGCCGGCCGAGGATTACGTTGTGAGAGCATGCTAAGTCGACCACAATGAACTTCATGTCTAGCTTCTGTACATTGGGATAGGTACCAACCTCAACGGGTAGAATAATGGATCCTTCAGCTTCCACGGAGTCGCCCGTGAAACCGGCTAGTGGCGTCTTGACTGAGGCCAGTTGCTCTCGTGCCACTCCCATTTTGGTGAATGTCTCGAGATATAGGATATTGACGCTGCTCCCCGTGTCTACCAGGGTCCGTCGAACGACCACCCCGTTCACATCCATGGCAATGACTAGGGCGTCGCGATGCGGAGTTTCTCCTGTAAGCAAGTCTTTGTCTGTAAAGACGATAGGCTCCCGACATACTTTCTTCGAGCCACCTTCTCGTCCGTACACAGTCCCTACGCACCGCTGCCGAGCCCAGGCTTTCCTAGTGTTGGCAGAGTCGCCTCCTTCAGGTCCGCCGACTATCATGTTGATAACCGGCTTCTGCCTCCACTGGGCTTCGCCTTCATCGATTACCGGCTGCTTGCTGTGATTGCCTTCGACCGCTTCCGAAGGGTCGGCATCCTCCTTAGCCGCAGACCTTCTTTGCCATTGGTTGGGAGGCGGCGTCCCTTGTTGGATGATCCCCTCCATGATCTTCTTCAGGTAATAACACTCCTCCGTGTTGTGGGTGTATGATTTGTGGTATCGACAATACTTAGACAACTTACCCGGGTCCTCATTTACTGTGCGCTCTCCGGTCGGAGGAGGCGGAGGCGGTGCGACCGCCTGTACTTCATGTACTGGATGCTGGGAGGTCGGCCGGTAAGGCTGGATGCTGGGCCTATCGTATACGCATCGAGCTTCAGGCCGTCTAGCTAGATCCGGACGTCTTTCCTTTACTTCTGCTCGGGTTCGTTTTCCGCCAGAGGATCCGCCGACTTCTCGTTGTCGCTTGTTCCGTGTTGGCTCGCTTGTTGGCCATGTGTATCGCCTCCGCATAGGTGGCGGGTCGGTTGTCCCGTAGGTCGCGATACAGTTGTCCGGATCGTAACGGCTCAATGAAGAAGGTGAAGGCAGTTTGGTCCTCCACCTCCTCGATGGATTGGATCTCTTTCTGCCACCGGGCTAGGTAAGTTTTGAGGGACTCGCCCTCCTCTTGATGGATATCTCCCAGATAAGTTAAATCTTTTTGGGGCTTGATGTTAGTCGAGTAATGGCTCATGAAGCGGTCAGCCAATTCCTCGAAGCTGCGAATTGAGCCTGGGGGTAAGGCCACGAGCCATCTTTGCGCCGAGCCCTTCAGCGTTGGCAAGAAAGCGCGACACATGATGGGATCTCGGACCCCCAGCACTTGCATTTTGGCTTGGTAACTCAAAAGATGTTCGCGCGGGTTGCCGGATCCGTCGAAGGTGGCCTGCTCCGGGAACTTAAAGTCGCCGGGTATCTTGTACGCCATAATCTCGGCTGAGAAGGGCAAGGCGGTGAGCAACATCCGACCTGGGGACTTGGTTCTACCTTCCACTTGCTCCTTCAAATTCCGTAGCTCTTGGGCCAAGTGGGCCACATCTTCGGCGTTTTGGGTGTGGTTTCCTGTGGACTCTGTACTTTCGCCGACCTGTGACTCGGTTTGCCACTCCTCATTGCGAGTGGGTCGATCGGCCTGGTGCGCCCGAGTTTGCGTCCTTCTGGTGCGGGTCCTTTCTCGGGGGGCCTCTCGATTTCGCTGGTTCGTCGGCACGCGACTGGGTTCCCCTTCCCCCAATCGTTCTCTCACCGATTGGCGCGTCGTGTTCAGGCCTAGCCTCGAATGTACCGACCGCACCGGCGGGTCCTCCACTCTTCGATCTCCTCGTCTGTCTCCGTTCGACCTTTGAGGCAATTGCTGATTGCGCGGCTGTGCGTTCGGCGGCCGAGAGGTCGACGGTTCTCCTCTTTCTCGAGTCTCGGCTGCGATCGCTCAACCGGTAACCTGAATTTGCTCGGGGGTGAGAGGTATTATTTTCTAGGGTCGGTTTCGGGGTGCCAGGTCATTTCCTTGACTCTGCGAGTTTCGCTGGTTCAGCTGATCTCTCAAATCGGCTTCCGGTTCGTGGTTACGGTTGGAGGCACGGCTTCGTCATTCAGACATGCTGTAAAGCTTCTTCTTCCCGCTCGCTCGTCTCTTTTTTCTCTGCGAATTCCGATGCTCAAGAATGGACGTGACTCTTTATTTCGATCCCCACAGACGGCGCCAGTGTTGGTTTTAGGGTTTTTGGGCCCAGGAAGGTCCAACACAACCTTGGTTGGTGGATACACCTTTCAATAAAGCTATTCAAAACGGAATGGAATGAATAATTTTAGTAAACGTGTCTCTTTATTCTCTGGGCATGGACTCGCCCGTTTAAAATCTTGGAGGGGCCTTTATATAGTAGGCCCTCCTTTAATTCGGGTTTTAAGTGCATTAAATTGGGCCTTGATGGCTAATTACATCGGAGGGCCGTTGGGCTGCCGTTACTGGGCCTCCCAGAGGCCCTTTGAACGGCTTCTTCAATGTTTCTTTAAATTCTCTTCAACGGCTCCTTGTCACTATCGCCGAGTCCTTGTCCCGACCTTGGAGTCGGCTCGACTCCTGGACTCGGTCTGATCTTCTCCCGGGCTTTTATTACTTTCTGGGCTTCCGCCCCTTTTCCCTTGGACCGCATCGTATTCTCTTTGGGCTTCCCAATTCTTCTTGGGCCGGGGTCCATACCCCATCATATATATATATATATATATATATATATATATATATATATATATATATATATATATATATATATATATATATATATAAATATATATATATATATATATATATATATATATATATATATAAATTTTTGGGGAGGGGTATCTCCGTTCCCGTCCCCGTCCCCGGCAGGGAATTATTTAAATTCCCCGTTCCCGTCCCCAATCCTCGGAATTTTTCCCCGTCCCCTACGACAGCTCACCAAATTTTCCAAACTAGTTATCTTATCAAAAAATTTGGTGAGCTGTCGTAGGCTCCCAAATTAAAACCTTACAAACGTAGTAGCGGGAGTAAGGATCGATCCCACGAGGAGTAACTAGTTTAATGTATGTGTTCAAATTAAAGTAAAGGGGAGTTTGGTATGAAGGTGATAATCAAAGAAAATAAACGAATAAAGCAATGAAAACAATATATTGAAAGCACCTATAATAGAAAACCTTGGTTAGTAAAGATCCACCACCGGAATTTAACACTGATCATTGATTCAAAAGGTAATTAATATGCAATTGAATATTTGTCGTGAAATTATTTCATTTCCGTTTACCCTTAGTTGTAGGTAACTAAAGCACACGCGGTTTAATTACCCCTAACTACTAAATAACCTAAGACAAGCGCTATAGATTTAATTTAATAGCAGCAATAGGAACTAGGAAAACCAATAAACTAAATAACACAAGGACAAGCGGTTGCATTTAATTTAGGAAAATATTCTTCCTGAAATCAATTATCACTAAGCCATCAATAATTAACCTCAGTTGCTACTGAATATTAGAATAATTTGTAGTACAACATTATCTAATATAGCAAATAATTATATCAAATAGCTTAGAAGAATATTTATTACCCAAATGCATAAAAAATATATAATAAAATAAATAAATAATCTTACAGCATAATCAATTCCGGGGCTTTAATTCACTAAACCAAGCTAAAGAAATTAGCCACGAATGGACATTGATAACAACTTCAACGAATACTATAGAAGAGAAAGAATGAACGATTTACAATAGGAAACCTACACTATTTATACTACTTCTAAAAATAAACTCTAAAAGTCTCCACCATCCATCTCCTAATTTTCCTCCGCACGTCCGAAGACTGCCGAGAATGCCGCTTCATCTTTGACAAAATGTGCTGCACGTATGTGAGAAAAAGAAGGACGCATGTAATTAAAGTTTTATTTATGCATCTTAATCAACAAAATCAAGAGGTGGACCACATTTATATATTTAAAAAGCATATATATATATACTAGTACGTACTATATGTATACTAGTATGTATATTATATATATTTAGTACTATATTTAGCTCATTAGTTGTTAAACTCCAAAAAGAACTAATTATTAAATAATATTAACTAATGAATGCAAAATTATTATAAAAATGTACCTAAAATATGAGTGTAAAATATGCCTATCAATATATATATATATATATATATATATATATATATATATATATATATATATATATATATATATATATATATATATATATTAATTTTCGGGGACGGGGACGGGTATCTCCGTTCCCATCCCCGTCCCCGGCGGGGAATTATTTAAATTCCCCGTTCCCGTCCCCGATCCTCGGAATTTTTCCCCGTCCCCTACGGGGACGAGGCCCATTGCCATCCCTACCCATTCGTACAATAATTCCGAGTTAAAGTTGTGAAGTGTCAAAAGTTCGGCAAGGCATAACTTTGGACTCGGTTGTCCGTTTTGGACAAATGTTTTTTTGAAATCGCGTATTTTTTGAGATCTATCCACCGCAAACTGCCGCAGGCGGTTTGGCCAACTAATTTCTAAAAAAAAATGCTTTATTAAATAGTTTCTAAAAAAACCTATGAGAACCTTATGTTTTATTAATGAATTTTTAAATTTTTTAATTAAAAAATTGTCCCGTGCATTATTTAATAATCTCTCTTTATAATTGGTCAAATTATTTAATTATGGTAAGTTAGGGAATAATTAATGATGGTAATAGAAATCCTAAAAAAACATAGAATTGAAGAATATTTAATTATTGTTATATTATTATTGTGACTCACGAAATACAATACAAGAGTATTTAATTATAGTTATATTATAATTGTGTGCCTCACGGCCATTATATACTAACAAAACTTGAAAAGAAACTAATAATAATAATATAATAATAATAATAATATAAGTGGTAAAGATAATATCTAAAAGTAATCTTCCTATATATTAAAGCCATAAGATTTGGGCCAATGAAATGGCTCCATTTTCCCGCTCAAACTATACTACGCCGTTTTGGTTTTCTCTCGGTTTTAAACGCACAAAAAAATCGAATACATAAAATCAATTGTGTTTGTCTTTTAATTGAAAGAATTGAAACAATAAATCTATGATTAACAGCCGTTTTTTTGAGTCCCAATTATCTGGGAAAGTGGTCAGTCGCCATTCATATTAATGCCGCTGACAGATATTTAATTGGGACTCTAATCAACGAACAAATATTGAGAAATACAATACGATACAAATACAAATATCGTAATGAGAAATACAATACGATACAAATACAAATACATACAATTACGATCTATATATAATCTTTAAATTCATGTGTCGTTTGTTCTTCCAATGTGCAGTCTTAATTGGGAGGCATCCGAGAGATCATGGCTGATTTCAAACTTCTCACCAAGCCTGTATAAATACTTGGAGGTAACTTCATAAGTGTCTACCATTTTTCTCTCCTTCAGTCTTACTGATTTCTTCATCTTTCTTGGTTTCTTTCAAATTTTTGAATATCTGCAAATGGCTCCTGTTTATGTTCTAGGCAAAGACATCAAACTATCTACTTACAAAAAGCTATCAGGCTACGATTGATTCGTACCTATACGGTACCCGAAGGTCGCAACAGTTCTGATAGCATCAAGAGTCAGGAGTGTGTCTTTCATGACAGTGAGGTAAGTTCTCTTTCAATTTCAACTGCAAAAAGACATGTATAAGTTGTTAGTCAATATATATGTTCTTGGTTGATAGGGTACATACATTCATGGGAACATCCCTAAAGACTGCGTGGAAAAGTATTCTAAACTTTTAAAAGAAGGGAAGGTGTATGCCATCAAAGATTTTGTAGTTATATCCCACTACTACCAATACAAAACTACTGATCACAACTACATGATCAGATTTAGTCATGAGACTATTGTTGAGAGACACAGGCGCAAGGGTTTTCCCTTACTAATGTTTCGGCTTAAGTCTTATACTGACTTAATGAGTGGCAATGTGTCTGAAAAGCATCTCATTGGTATGATATATTACTTCTTTTCTCTATATTATATATCCTATATCCTATATCCTAAGTTTTCATTCTACTTTGTTCCATTTTAACTCTTCTATTCCCCTTTTAGATGTGATTGGTAGAGTGGTGGAGTACTATAGTCCAAAAGAGATTCTTATAGCTGGATTTCCTTCGAAATTGGTGGATTTTCTCATAGAAGATGGCCAGTAAGTATTCTTTCTCTTCTAAATTTATGTACATATATATAACTGCAGTAATATTTGCATTTTTTTCCTAATTATAAACTGCTTATAGATAAAGGCAGATTTAACTAAATCGTAGAAAAGAAATTGAACATTTGAAGTACATACCAGGTCACTGTTTAATGCATCCAATTTTTCACTTTGACCAGTACTGTAGTTACACCTGCAGTTAAAAGAAATATTCTATAAGAAAAATAGCATAAAGATTGTATGTATTCAAATCTGTGATTGTAGAAGAAAATCCTATAAGAAAATCTTACTAAAGTCAACTACTAGAAATCAAGTAATTCGACTCAAATATCTATTATACAAAAAATACTTATCTTTTTCAATTTCTTTCTATAATCCTTAATGTTGTTTTCAATCACATTGTAAGTCTTGTGCTATCTGAAAATCCAATCTCAAAATCCAATCTGAAATCCATTAGGCCAAACAGTCATAATGTTAAATCCAAACTAGACTTTAACATGTTAAATACATACCAGGCCACGGTTTAAAGCATCAATTATATCACCTTTAGGTGTAGGGTAGTTACACCTGTAGTAAATTAAATATTGTATAAGCCAAATAGCATTAAGCAATCAACTCGGTGTAAATTTATTCAGTACAATATATTTTATCTACTTACAATCTGTTTATCTCACTTTTAGGGGCAATCGTCTTAAGTGTACTGTTTGGGATCAACATGTTGATACAGCCATGCATTATTTCAAGACCCACGTGGAAGGGCCTTTGATTGTTTTACTCCAACTCTGTCGAGCAAAGAAAGTGGATAGTAAGTGCATGATAACTTATTCATTAACATCTAATTCATTATATTTTAACAAATATCTGTTTCTAATGTGTAGATGAATTCAGAATTTCATCCTCCTACAATGCAACACAGTTATGATTTAATCACTCTTGCAGTGAATTTCAGGAATTTAAAGACAGGTAATTCCACATAAATTGTATTTTGAAGCAACTTTCCTAGATCAACATGTTCACTGTTTTTTTTTCTTTAATCTGCAGTTTGAAAGTTGATACCAGGCCACCTCTAAGTGTGCAAACTGTGTCTCACATTTCCTATGGAAGTGCTGCAGAAAGTTCAAAATTTCCTATTATAGTTACTACTATCGAGGATCTGTATGAAAGAGCCGAGGTAGAATGTAACTTAGATTAATCTTAACATTCTATTCTGATCTTTTTAATCCTAATTTTTCAATTTTATTTAATTTGAACTAACAGGAAGGCTACTACTGGGTTCCTGGAAGGATTGTTTCTGTGGAGAGTACTACAAATTGGTATTACCATTCATGCAGGAGTGAGGGATGCTTTAGAAAATTGCACTTGAAGAGTGGGGCTCTACAATGCCTAAAATGTGGCACAACATGGCAGGAGGGAAACCTAAGGTACAGGATGATTGTGAGGGTAGGAGATAAGACCACTGATGCTCCTTTTCTGTTGTGGGACAAGGAGTGCTGCGAAATTGTTGGAAAGACTGCATTTGATCTAAGGAGCAAATACTCTAAGGTATTTTTTAGACAACAAACAAAAAAAGATGACTATACAGTTTTTCTCAGTGTGTTTTTTTTTTTTTTTTTTGATGAAAGTGATTGTATTTAACCACTTTTATTTTTTTCTAGGATGGGTCTCCTCTCCCAACTGGTATGGAAGAGGTCCGTAATAAGGCTATGGTCTTCAAGATTTCTGCTAAGAATGATCACTTCAAGAATAAAGCAATAGCTATACCTGTGGTTGCAATAGCACATGATTCAGACTTAGTTGATCATCACTGCCCCTGTTTAAGTGATGATCAAGATCAGCTATCAAGAATGCTAAATGAAGATGATCAAGATGCAGAGTCTGATGTAAGTATTTAAGTAATGGTCACTTGATTGAATAAACTAGATACTTACTGGTCTAACTAATTGTTGGTTCTTATTTATAACAGGAATCTGAATCGGGTAATGAGGCAAGCAGTCCCAATCCTATTCAGGCTAAGAAGCAAAAGCTGGATGAACAAGAAGAGCCACTAGAGCCAGTGTCATCAAAGAGGAACTTACTTGATCAATTTTCATCCAGTAGAGATGCAAAGAAAACAAAGGTTGTTTTGGTTAAACAGGAGAAAAGTTAATCTTCTGTTGTGTGATTAAATGATGGACAAAGATGATTGAATTTTGGTGATTTGGGTGGACATTGTTTTTGTAACCAGGATTTTGATAATATGTACTCCTAAGTACATATTATGTGTTATTGGTCATTGTTTGCCATAGACATTAGGCACTTTTTATAAGTGCTTTCTTATTATACTGTTTAAAAGGATATTTCTATGCTTTATACTATGTTTTGTCTATTTTCCTAACTCATTGCAGGTATGCTATAGACATTAGGCACTTTGTATAAGTGCTTTGTTATGATACTCTTATAAATGATTTTTGTATGCTTTATACTATATATGGTTTGTCTATTTTCCTAACTCTTTGCAGGTATGAACATGTAGAGATCAGGTAGCATGCACAATCACAGAATGATAAAGAAGGCTAATGGCAGTGGATTTAAATAATGTACTTATCTGTTAGGGATAGTAATTCTCATGTTGTGGTCCTTGAACTTTCAGTCCACCTGAAATAAAGGAATTTGTACTTATATCAGTTCCAAAAGTGTACTGTGTAAATTGTGTTTGTCTTTTAATTGAATGAATACTAAAGCTATGATTACCATTTGTTACCTTAGACACATATTTTACTTCAATATCACCTGTTGAGCTTTAAACTCTTTTCAGGACATTATACAATAGTCATATGCCTATAAAGGCAAATACAATTCAAACCAAATGTTGGCTATCACCTGTTGAGCAAATCAGAATCTTTGTAACATTAGTTACAAAGTCAGCCAACATTTAAAGTTGAACCAACCCAATAATATCATACAAAACAGTTAGAATATCAAATTTAAATGTCTATAAAGGCAAATCCAATTCAAACCCAATTGTTTTTCCTACATCTCAAAGTTATCTTTATCAAAACATTTTAGCCAATAAAAACTGCAATGAGTTAAAGAAAAAAAGTCTATACCAGTTGTGCCAACATACAGTATATATATTCAAAAAGATACTGAAGAGACAGAATATGAGACAGATTAAGTAGTTCTGTAGTGTATTAATCAGATAACAATATGAAGTAAACTGTTTATCAGATATGGAAATCCTAAAGATCAATCAAATACTCGAATAAAAGCTTCAATAAAGAAATAGAATGAAAATTGAACTCAAAGTTATAGTGTTCAGAAGTATAACACTAAAGAAATAGAATGAAAACTACGAGATACACAGTAATTGTTTTCCTCTAATGATTTAGGGAATAAAAACGAGCTGTTCTCATATTACACAGGTTGCACCATTGATTTCATGCAAAGCGACAGATAGTTAATAAATTACAGAGGTTAGATAAGCATATTGTAAACTAATAATGGAAATTCCCATCAAGATTGTGAAATCTGGACAACAAGGTTAGCCCGTTAACTCTGTACACCATACCGCCTTCATTCGTGGTCTTTGGCAATACTGAAATTCAATACTGAACTTTTTTCCTCTGCAAAAGGTTTAATAGTACACTTAGAGGAAAACGGGAACTCTGAAGTCTAATGGCATCAGAATTTCATATCATCATGTGCCATTTACTTGAAAACAAATGTTAGATTCTGAGTAAATTAATTAAAATAGAATTGAAGTCTATTCAAAAACAGAAAATAATAAGAAAAATAAACATTGATTCATGAAATGGCTCCATTTTCCCGCTCAAAGCGAAAATTATAACACTAAAGAAATAGAATGAAAACTACGAGATACACAGTAATTGTTTTCCTCTAATGATTTAGGGAATAAAAAAGAGTTGTTCTCATATTACACAGGTTGCACCCTTGATTTGATGCAAAGCGACAGATAGTTAATAAATTACAGAGGTTAGATAAGCATATTGTAAACTACTAATCGAAATTACCATCAAGATTGTGAAATCTGGACAACAAGGTTAGCCCGTTAAGTCTGTACACCATAACGCCTTCATTCATGGTCTTTGGCAGTACTGAAATTCAATACTGAACTTTTTTCCTCTCCAAAAGGTTTAATAGTACACTTACAGGAAAACGGGAACTCTGAAATCTAATGGCATCAGAATTTCATATCATCATGTGCCATTTACTTGAAAAGAAATGTTAGATTCTGAGTAAATTAACAGCTAACAGAATTGAAGTCTATTCAAAAACAGAAAATAATGAGAAAAATAAACATTCATTCAAAAAGACAATTGGATCTGAAATTGTATAACAAAATACACATATATTAATTAGGTGATTATTGGAATCAAAACTGTTTTCAAGGAAATGGCAGGATTAATGCTGGGAATATATTCTATCTTTTCAATATGTGTCTTTTCTGCTTCCCAATAGAAATAATCATTAATAAAGGAACAGCAAAATTCTAGGGAATTTCATTTTTCTTTACTGTTTTACACTCACATACAATCAGATATTCACATTTAAATGCATAGTACACCATTCATTTTAAACTAAACTCACTACTGTCAGAAAAACAGTTACCAAACGTTAAGCAGTTCAAATCCATGAGGAAGTTAACTAAATCAACTGTCATCGGCTCCAAAAGGAAGGATACAATATCAAATAAAGGTACGCTACTGATGAACACACATCAAAACTTCTATTACTGTCACAATTTCTGAATCAACAAAAGATTTTATTCTCCTAATCATATTGAAATTTTTTTATCATGCAATTACAAATCTGTCGAACAAGGATAACCATATATTAGGGGTAAGTTAAAAAGAATTCTTTATCATCAATTATAGGAAAGCTACACATTACAGACTGCAAATTATAAACAATCAAGTGCAGAGTTTAGACAAATTCACCTAGGTTAAAACCCTACCTATACAGACATACAGTTTAGCATACATAATTCGAATTGAAAATCGATTTACATCTACATTTTTTGGGCAAAAATAGTAAAGATTAATTAAGTTTGAGTACGAAAAATACTTACCTTCATTCGATTGTTTAGCTCCATGAAAAAAAACCCTACTGCGATGCACGACGCAGTCGTAAATTAGTCCGACTGCGTACATCCATGGCTATGTAATCCAGATCGAGGGTTTCTCTAGGTTGCATCCGTAGAAACAACCAAGCATAGCAGTAGATCTAGGGTTTCGCCCAGTTCCATCTCTCACTCGAACCCAATCACAATATAGGCTGCGATCTAATCAAGAAGAACTTTCGTTTAAAAGGCCGATTTCAATTTCAGACGCCATTAACGTCTAAAATTGAAAGAGATTAGATCGATAGATAGAGAGAGATAGCGAGAGATAGACAGAGTGATGACATCGTAGAGAGAAGACAATGCGTAGACAGTGGGAGCGATGATCGGATGGTGTCCAGAAGTGAGACTTCTGGACACTTCGATCCTTTTTTTTTTTTTTGGTTATATATATATATATATATATATATATATATATATATATATATATATATATATATATATATATATATATATATATATATATATATATGGTTAAATTCTATATATTATTTTAATATGCTTATTATGTACATATGCTTCTTTATATAGTACGATATTCATTTTTGTTAAATCAATCTTATGTATTGTGTTTATTGTATTTAAAAGGTAGTATTTAATTGTAATTTTTGTTAAATAATAATTTATGTTAAATCAATATTGTTAAATAAACATATATATTTTCATTTTTCAACTAAAATAGTTTATAAATAATATATTTTATATAATCATTGTATTAACTATATTTACATCAATAATTATATTACTACTTATTTATTTTTTTCGTTATAAGATATTTATTGTTTTAATGTCAGAAAATGATGGTACAGAAATTGGAACATTCAACACACCGAAACGAATTGCGATTGGTGGTAATTACTTTCTTTCTTATTGCAATGTCGGTGCTATGGTATAGTACATTTAATTTAAAGTTTTTATATTATCTTCGTATATTAATGTTAGCATTTTGGAATTTTTTTGTTTAGAGTGTTCAATTGCAATGGAATTGTCAAGTGGTGGATCTCAGCATACATGTGTCAATGCAACACCTCAAAATAAGAGCCGTCTTACTGGGACACAGTGTGGAGGTCTTTCAAGACAATCTTTCAACGTATACAATGGTATGAGACGTTATATATCTATACAAGTTTGATTATTTTTTCAATTTTATTGATATGTTTTATTGTTAAATATGTTTAATATGCTTATAGTAGAGGATATCCTTATTTATATAGGACGATTTTTAGATTTGTCATGAAAACAAAACGTTTTGTGTTTAGAGTATTTGAATTAGGGCTGTTACATATATAACCCTTATATTTTGGCGGTAATTTAGTTTATTTAATGTAACACATGTAATCTGTATGCATTGCTTTATTAGTAATTCTTTAATTGATTGTCTTATTGGACAGAAAATGCAACATTCAACACACCGAATGTATCTTTTATTGATGGTTAGTGCTTTCATTTTAAATGCAATGTCGGTAGTATGGTATAGTACGTTTTATTTTAATTATTTATATTATATATATTAATATGTGATTTTTGTAATTTTGATGTTTAGAGTGTTCTGTTGCAATACAACCGGCAAGTGATAGATCTCAACTTACATGTGTTAATTCAACATCTCAAACTAAAAAGTGTTTTGCCAGCGGACAAATTAGAGGTCTTTCTAAACAATTTTCTACAATAAATTATATATCTTTAAGCATTTAATATACTATATTTTGAATTTTTATTTGAGATTTAAAACAATTTTTTTTTATAGTTTTACAAAATATTACTCAATCAATGACATCCCAATCTAACTTGCTCGAAAGTACCCCTATGGTGTCCAATGAAAGTCGAGGGACTTTGCATACTCTAACAAATGGTAAAGTTTCTAGATGAGTTTAATTCTTTTTAAAAAGTCAATTATTATAAATTGCTTTATTGTTTTATGAAATTTAACATTTATTTTCATCTTATAGTTCAAACAACAAGATCGTGCGTTGTTGATTACAATACCTCCTCACCAAAGGTTTCAATGCAATGTGGTTTGATGTCAGCATTTAATAGTGTTGTCCATGATACACCATCAAACTCTACAAATGGAGATGGTGAGTATAGATACGATTAAAAACCTTTATTATCTAAACATAGTAATAACATTTGTTTTTTTGGTAGATTATTACAGTGATCTTGGTGATCAAACGTACTCGTGCGATCACTGTGGAGCTATGTTTTGGTTAGAGGAGCGAGTTAATAAATCTAGCGGTGTTCGAAATCTGAAATATTCTCTATGCTGCAGTCATGGCAAGATAAAGTTGTCGCATCCGAATATTCCACCTATGGCAATCAGGCAGTTTTTCTTTAACCAGGATCAAAAGAGTACCCATTTCTTGAAGAACATTCGGTCCTTCAACAATATGTTTTGCTTTACTTCCATGGGTGGAAAAATTGACAGGACTGTCAACAATGGTAGTGCACCGCCGACTTTCAGGTTACATGGTCAAAACTTCCACTTAATGGGTAGTTTACTACCACAATCTGGTGAAAGACCAAAGTTTGCTCAATTATATATTTATGATACTCAAAATGAGATACAAAATCGTCTAACTGTACTTGGGTAAGTTATGTACGCTTATTTAATTCAAAGAAACGAACATTATTTTTTATATAAAATAGATTATGAAATTGTATGTGTTTCTTTCTTTCAAACAGGGCAGATGAGTCAACAAATACGATGCATTGTGAAATTGTGAAAGACATCAAGGATGCACTGGATGAAAATAATGTTTTGGTCAAGAGTTTTAGGATGGCCAAGACAGAGATGGAAAGTAATCGTAGAGCTGATATTAAAATCAAACTTATTGGTAAAAGGAGCAAGGATGCAAGGACATATAACTTGCCACAGGTTGGGGAGGTGGCGGCATTGATTGTTGGTGATTTAGATCCAAACATGGGAGAAAGAGATATATTGGTGGAGTCTAAAGCTGGTCATTTTCAAAGAATAACTGAATTAAATCCAGCATATCTCCTACTGCAGTACCCACTTCTATTTCCTTATGGTGAAGACGGATACAGAGACGATATACAATTTAATAATGTTGAAGGCCGGAGTTCAAATGCACGGAGTAAACTTAGCCCAAGAGAGTATTTTTCATTCCGTTTGCAAGATAGGTTCAATGAAATGTCAACATTGCTATATGCTAGACGATTGTTTCAACAATATTTGGTTGATGCTTATACCATGATAGAATCAGGACGCTTGGTTTATATTAGGTCTCATCAAAAGTCACTTCGGTGTGAATCATACAAATGTTTAACAGATGCGTTAACACGTGGTGAGGTAGATCCTACTTCGCAAGGAAAGCGCATTATTTTGCCATCGAGTTTTACAGGAGGTGCAAGATATATGGTGCAAAGTTACCAAGATGCAATGGCGATTTGTAGATGGATCGGGTATCCAAGTCTATTTATTACATTCACATGTAATCCTAAGTGGCCTGAGATCGAAAGATTTTTACAATCAAGGAATCTCAAAGCTGAAGATAGGCCAGATATAGTATGCCGTGTGTTTAAAATGAAATTAAATGCACTCATAAAAGACATTAAGAAGGAGAAGATTTTTGGACTTGTGGATGCAGGTAATTTATTTGATTTTATAAATATTACCGAATATATTTCATTTTTACGTATACTTAAAATAATTGACAATTTTTTGGGGGTCTAATTTCACAATCTACGTATTTGCAGTAATTTACACCATTGAATTTCAAAAAAGGGGATTGCCACATGCTCACATTTTGATTTTCTTGAGCAAGAGTAACTCTTACCCTAATCCTAAAGATATTGACATGATCATATCTGCTGAAATTCCAAGTCAATTGTGCGACCCTGAGTATTATAAAGCTGTAGAAGAATTTATGATTCACGGTCCATGTGGTGCAGCGAGGAAGAACTCACCTTGCATGATAAATGGTATTTGCTCTAAATTCTTCCCCAAAAAATTTGTTGAAAACTCAACAGTGGATTTCGATGGATATCCAATCTATCGGCGTCGAGATAATGGTCGTACAATACGGAAGAATGGGATTGACCTTGATAGTAGATATGTTGTGCCACACAATAGACATTTGCTTATGAAGTACAAGGCTCATATTAATGTGGAGTGGTGCAACCAATCTAGATCAATAAAGTACTTATTCAAGTACGTCAACAAAGGGAATGATAGGGTTACAGCTGAATTCTACAACAGTGGGGTGGAAGAATCTACTGGGAAAATTGTAGATGAAATCAAGATGTACTATGACTGTAGATATATCTCACCCCCTGAGGCTGCGTGGCGGATTTTTGGGTTTGACATACAATTTAGGAACCCATCTGTTGAGCGATTGAGTTTCCATCTTCCAAATGAGCAATCAATAATATTTCATGACGACGATTTGGTCGATGATGTGGTAAATCGACCAACAGTAGCTCAAAGCATGTTTACTGCCTGGTTTGAGGCTAATAAAAAGTATGCAGCAGGGAGGCAGTTGACTTATTCAGAAATGCCAACCAAATTTGTTTGGAAGAATGATAAAAGAGAATGGCAGCCTAGGCAAAGAAATTGGGCAATTGGGCGAATCTTTTATGTGCCACCAAATACTGGTGAGATCTTTTATCTTAGGTGTTTACTTAATATAGTTCGTGGACCGACTTCATTTGATGAGATTAAAAAGGTCGATGGTGTTCAATACATCATTTAGAGATGCGTGTTATCCCCGCGGATTAATCGAAGATGATAAAGAGTATATTGATGCAATAACTGAGGCAGCAACGTGGTCTTTAGCAAGTTCACTACGAAAGTTGTTTGTTACCCTTTTAACATCCAGTTCGATGTCCAAACCAGAAAATGTTTGGGAGATGGTTTGGCAATACTTATCAGATGATGCTGAATATGTTTATAGAAGGAACCTCTCAATCTCAGGTATAATTTATTTTAATATTATTATTAAAATCTGTGTTTAAAATCATTACATCTTACATTTGTTTTTTATTTTGTAGATTTAAATATGAATGAATCTCAAAAAAAGAATTTTGCGCTGCTTGAAATGGAGAAATTGTTGAATGCTTGGAACAAATCTCTATCAGATTACCCACCTATGCCAATGCCAGATGGAAACAATGATTGGTTTTGTGGTAACAGGTTGTTGTTAGAGGAAATGTCATATGATAGGGAAGCTCTAATGCATCAACATAATTCGTTGCATCCGAAACTAACTGATGAACAGCTACTCATATACAATAAGGTGATGGGAGATGTGGAAACTGAGAAAGGTGGAATGTATTTCGTATATGGTTACGGTGGAACAGGAAAAACATTTTTGTGGAAGACAATTTCAGCAGGTTTACGATCCAGAGGCGAGGTCGTTCTAAACGTAGCATCAAGCGGTATAGCTTCGTTGCTGCTACCTGGAGGTAGGACTGCACACTCCAGGTTTGCTATACCGCTTGGTGTTAATGAAGATTCCACTTGCAACATCAAGCAAGGCAGTCCACTTGCTGAATTGATAATCAAATCCAAATTAATAATTTGGGATGAAGCTCCGATGATGCACAAACATTGCTTTGAAGCATTGGATCGCACAATGAGAGATTTAATGCGTTTCAAGAATTCAAGGAGCTCAACAATGACATTTGGAGGGAAAACAGTGGTGTTGGGTGGAGACTTTAGACAAATTCTACCCGTTATTCCGAAAGGTACTAGACAAGATATAATACAAGTCAGCATTAATTCATCTTACTTGTGGAATAATTGTGAAGTTCTTCGTCTAACGAAGAATTTAAGATTGCGAGGTGTTACTAATGAAGATGATGTTGAGAAGTTAGATAGTTTTGCCAAGTGGATTGCGGATTTAGGTGATGGTAATCTTGGTGAAGACAACGAGGTTGATTGCAATATAATAATGCCTTCTTCAATTGTATTAGAAAATGAGGTTGATCCTATCAAACAAATTGTTGAAAGCACATACCCTCAATACCGTTCTGGCAACTTGGATGAAAGACAATTAGAGAAGAGAGCTATATTAGCTCAACATTAGATGTTGATGAGGTCAATGAATACATGAATGATATTAATCAAGCTGCATCAAGGACATATTTGAGTTGTGATTCTGTTTGCAAGGCTGAGGCAAACTTTGATATGCAATCTCAGGTACACACAACAGAATTTTTAAATAGCTTGAGGTGCTCAGGTGTACCAAACCACTCTTTAACGCTGAAAATTGGAACTCCAGTTATGTTGTTGAGAAATATAGATCACTCGATGGGGTTGTGCAATGGTACAAGGTTAATAGTAACACAATTGGGAAATCATGTTATTGAGGGGAAAATCATAGCTGGCAATAACGCAGGTACAAAGGTTTTGATACCAAGGCTATCTTTGACTCCTTCAGACCTAAGACTTCCATTCAAGTTTCAAAGAAAGCAGTTCCCACTTATGTTATCATATGCAATGACAATCAACAAAAGTCAAGGTCAAACACTTTCACATGTGGGTTTGTTATTGAAAAAACCTGTTTTCAATCATGGCCAATTATATGTTGCAGTCTCTCGGGTCAGTAATCCGGATGGTCTTAAGGTCTTAATTTGTGGGGAATCTAGAGGTCTTCTAAACAAGACTCAAAATGTAGTTTATAAAGAAATCTTTAATAATTTGTAATTGTTTTATTTATGTAATAATAAAATATTATATTTTGTGTATTTGTGACGTCTATAACCTTATTGACCATATATCATGAATATAAAACAATTTTTAATATATTTCACCATAATAACATGGCCGTGTATCACACGGGTGTAACTACTAGTTAAGTGTTAATAATAATAGTAAGAATATTAACGTAAGAATTATAACATAGAATAAATTATAATAATTAATAACTATAGTCTAGGATTAAATTTGGAATTGTCAGGAAAGATAAGCGATCTCGGGTGAAATTAACTCTTAAATAATTATATATCAATTTAAATATTCTTAATATATTACAACAATTTCATTCCGTGCATTGTACGGGTGAAAATACTAGTCGATAAAAAAGGTGAAATTACTAGGGGTGTAGTTGTGTAGAACTATTTGGTGGGAAGTGGGAAGATAGGAAATTGGAGATGAAGGGGTAATAAGTGAAGCTTGTGACCGAGCAGGCTACAGGTGGGCATACTATATCCAAACAACACTCTGTCACTGGCTCACTGCTCGCTCCGCCGCTGATAAAACACCACCATCATCCCGCCTCCACCAAGAAGATACCTTAGTCGTCCCCGATCATGATGTCTTTGCGAATCTTCATGAACATTACTCCTTTATCGTCTTCGTCTCACTCGGCTACTAGGATCCCTAGTAATAAGACTCCTCACATCACTGGATATGCTCCCATTATGCAGGAAGCATCGGTTGGGTCTGTGGATTCTCAGTCCCAGTTGAAGCAGCAGATGGACAAGCGCCCTCCCGGTACGGGGAAGCCCGGCGGTGCTTGGGATTCCGCCCTGGGCAATGACGGCTCCGGAGGAGTTTCCGGAGTTCAAGTGCCCCGGCAGAGGCATATCACCGCTTCTAAGTCACAGCTTTTAGATGCCATCCTCTCCTCCTTGTTCGATTCAGAGGACGAGTCTAAGCAATTTCGCGATTTATGCTCGTAAGTCCCTCCCATTCCCCAATTGTTGGTTCATATTGCATTGTGAATTCTAGTTCAAAAATTATATGCCTGCTAACACATTTTTTAGGTAAAAATTTATGTACTGTAAATAAATTGAAGGCATAACATGATAATTACATACACTTGTTAACTGTAAGAACAGAATATAGTAATATACACATAATATATTGGTTAGCATGTTATGTGTTATTTGCAATTAACTGTATATGTTTATGTGTTTGTAATTAGCATGTGCTATGCCTTCAATTTATTTACCGCTACAAAAATGATTAGCTATAGGTACAAAATGTATAACAGCAAGCATGTATTTTATTTTTAGCATGTATCTTATTTTTGGATCAGGGTTCACAGTGCAAGGTAGACCCTGGTCTGGTATAATTTGCCATTTTGCCCCCATTCACTCATTCATTGTTGTTCTTTGCTAATCAACAATCATTTACATTTTGTTGCATAAAAGTTGCCAAAGTTTGTATTGAGCATTTTCATGGAGTAAAGTGTTTTCTTCTTTGAAAAATGTGTTTTGAAGTGGAAAGATGTGCTTGTGTAATTGCAGATGCTTGGACTTGATTCTTCATGCTGAACATAAAAGCATTCTAGAGGAAATGCGAGATGATTATGATCTTGCTCATGCTAAGACGAGAAGGGGGAACAGTTTTGAGGGAACGTCTAGTTTAGATGATAGTATTGGTCCCAATGGGAGAGAATCAGATGCTGTCATGAGTAATTCTCAGAAGATTGATAAATATGATGGAGCCACAGGATTATCAGAGCTATTAATATCCTCCAGTCAAGATATCCTAGGGTTTCCCTCCATTTCATTTCTTGAATATATTAACAAAATTCATGTGGGTGGATCCAGGTTTGTTTCAACCTTTTGAATTTTAATACTATACTCTGAAAGGTTGACTGAAAACTCCTATAATCTCTTTATGGTATCAGTGGTTCCCTTTAGCACAACATATTATATTTAGAGGAATAAAAATAATTCTATTAAGGACGAAAAAAATTAATTTATTAGAAACACGCATCTATTAGATAGATTTGGAACAAATTATCTTGAGGATGGTATTGCTACAGGAGAATGCAAATTGCTTTCTCAATTGGCAACATAGTGTTTTCCTAATAATAACTTCCTAGAATAGAGTTATTAATTACAAGTTCTTTGTGTATGTATTTGGTGTAAGTTCCACGAGAATCATATATTTACCAGGTAATTCTTATATTCTCCTATAGTCCTATCTATGAGATTCTGTACATTATCATGTGCACTACTGTTTTTCACCTTTGTATTTGTGTTGATGTTAAAACTTTGATCAATTTAACTATTTGTTTTAATTTTAGCTCTTTCTGTTGAATGCTTTGAGTAAGCGATAAACTCATTAAGATTGTGATGAAATTTGAACATTTTAAAGTCATTTATCCACAAGCTTATTTTATTTTATTTTTAATTGAAAAAAGATTTGTCATTTATCCACCAGCTTATTTTTATTTTATTTTTATTATTTTTTTTTATTGAAAAGAGATAAATCATTTTGTACTCCATGCGATTTTTAAAACTATTCAGACTTATTCAATAGACTTTCCAATTAATTAGATCTTCAAGTTGGAAACAGAAACATGTAATGCAGAAAGGTGATGTAATGGAGAAGTACAATTTTAACCTGGAGGGTGTGATTGAGTGGTAGAGACTCGCCATCCTTAACCAAAGGTCAAGGGTTCGATCCTAGCTTGGCTTTGGGTATGGAGCAGCCTTAAATCTCTAGGCCAGCTGTCCCACCCAAAAGAGTTGCCTACAATTCAGCGAGGGGATTAGTCATTGTGTTCGACGGTGGAAACCTTGGGTACACCCAAAAAAAATAAAAAATAGAGAAGTACACTTTTATTAGGGCACATGTCCTAACACTAGTCTTCTCAAAAGTGTACATGTGTCAGTTTGATACTATAGTAGTGGAAAAGAAGAACAAATTTAAGAAATGGTAATCTTATCATGCTTCTATTTGATTGTGATGTAAAAATTCTCAGTATAGTTTCTGCCCCACTTTTTTCCCATTTGATCATTTGCAGTATCAACATTTATTTCTTCTCATACTTTATATGCTTTGTTATTCTGTTTGTAACTTTGTTTTTGCCTGACTGCCTATTAAATATTCTGATTTATTTTTAACACTTGACTAAACATGTAAAATTTCCTTGTAGAGTTGACGTTCCCTCAAGTTTCCAGCGTTCTTTCATCCGGCTGCTTTCAGATGCAGGATTTGAGGAATTGTCTCCAAGAGATTTGATGCTATCATATGCTCTTAATACTGATTACCTTCTTACTTTGCCGATAAGTGTTGACTGGAAGAGAGCATCAGAGTCCAGTACCATAATATTTAGGTGCATATGAGTATTTTCTGCTTCAGGTGAATTTGTAGATTTATAAAGCAGCAGTTTATCCCTCTTTCTGCCTTCCTCAGTTAGTTGGCTCTTTGAAGGTCTTGATCCTTGTTTTAAATCTCAATCTTCTTTGAGAACATCAATCTAATGCATGCGCATTAGACTCAAATTTTAGTTTCTTTATGTATAAAACTTTCAGAGGTAGTTTTATTTTAATATGCTTTTGCATGCAGGCGTGGCTATACAACTGAAAGGCAAAAGGGTATTCTCGCTGTAGAAAAATTGGAATATTTGCAGTCAAAGTTGTTACAGGGACTCTTTTTTATAATAGTCAAACCTCTGAGGAAAACCAGCATTTGGTTGACTGAGGTAATTAACAATATGTAAATTTCTTTGATCCATTCCTTCTCTATGTTCATTCAAATCCTCCATCCTTCTATTCCAACTTACCAAACAGATCCTAAGGTAAAAAAGGAAACCTTGAATTTCCGGTCCTGAGATGCTCTTCTAAAGTTGAGAATCCAAACAGTTTGTCCACTTCATATCTGATACATGGTTGGACTGAGGCATCTCTAGGGCATAGAACATTTGATACAAATCCTCCAAAATACATGGAAAACTTTCTAAAAAGTAAAAACTGCTTGTTCCCATTTAGTATATGTATCCATATCCAAATGTGTACTTAGTTCAAGAAATATGCCTATAAACCCAACTACTCTGAAAGCCTCACTCTATAAAGTTCATCTCGCACAATTTCAGCATAGTATTTTTTTTCTTTGAAGGAATGAAGGAGAAATGATTGCTGTAAATTCTAAGGACTGGATCAAATGGATAGTCTTCTATTTCTTACACTAGATACTTTCAGATTGTTCCCATTGTAAAATCCATATGAAGCAATCAATGATTTTGTGCAAAATAGAGGATTTAGTGACTGAACTTTATTGATAAGAAAGAATAGGTCACATAATTTTATTTTATTTTTCTCATCTAGTGCCAAATTAATGGATTGAATGTAAAAATACTTTTTTTTTTTTCCTTCTAAATTTTGCATTTCATGAATGTCATGATTGTTGATTTTAACACATCTAGTTCTATTTCTCTGGTTAGGTTTTAAAAAGAAATAGTCCAGCAGAAGATGCTCAAAATTGGGCAGAAAAATTTAAGATTTGGCTGGAGGAGCTGCCCTATTTCCAGCAAACATATTCTTATGACAAACATACATCTAGTGAGGCAGAGGGTCTTGACCATTTATTAGAGAGTGACCTTCCCATTTGGAAAGCAGCGCAGAGGGCAGCAACTCATTATGAAGAAATTCTGTCAGCTGCTGGGCCTCGTGATAGGCTTCTTAGAAAGTTTCTTACTTCGATTGGACTTTTACCTTCTACCCCACAGCAGGAATTTGAGCTTTATGTTGATAATACAGAGTCTGAACCTCATTTAAGGTTGGTCCTCTTGAATGCTCCCTCTGTGATACATTACAGATCTTGCTGCCTAACTAGTTCACACTACCTAAAGATCATATTAGTTATATTGTTTCCTTTACTAGTTTAGTTATATTGTTTCCTTTACTAGTTTAGTTATATTTCCTTCATATTTAGTTTAGCAGTTTTAGAATATTATTTCCTTATATCTTTGGTTGTAACTCCTATATATATGGGAGAATATTAATTTGTCAAGTTAAGTTGGAAATTGAATAAAATCAAAAGGAAGTTTCTTCCTCCAACTTCTCCTCTCTTATTCTATATCCAGCCACCATAGGTAGACCACCTGCTTCCTCCGTTAACCATAGACCTGTGACGCGTAGTCTATCTACTGAAACATATCACTCTGTGTATGTTTATTTGTAATATATGGATGACATTTAGCAAAAGTGTCACTTTCACATAAAAAATGAAATTCAAAGAACATAGTAAATGGAAATAATAAACCAGCGCGTTTTAGTGCATGTGATACTTCCCCTCAATCAGAGTAAGAACTTTCCAAAATTCCAATTACAATTTCAAGTTTAAATCCTTAAATTACTTTAGTTAATAGGTAAATTGAGCCACATTTGCAAATTGCAAGTACCAAAACAAGTTGTCTATAGCCTGATCAATGCTTTCTAATCAGGGTCATACTTGTGTTGATTTTAAACCTTAAATTCTCTTTAAATAGAAATGAAAAAAAAAAAAAAAAGTTACCCAACTTTTTGGATCTTAGAAATCTAGAAATATGACTGGCTTTATGTATTGTAGTCTGAATGTTCATACATATATGTACTTTTGTTTGCTTGGACTAATTTACATGCCTTAGAAACATTATTGTAAAAGCTTTAAATAAACTTGGTGCTTTGATGTGTATAATCCTGTACAAGTATGGATGTATTGAGGAGCTAGCTAGTTGTTTCAGTAAATTCTTAATGTTGACCCAAGTTAAAATATGAATTCCATAATTCTCTCATCTTTATGATTATCAGTTGTTCCCTTTTGTACTTTTTAAAAATATTTCATCTCAAATATTTTATAACTAACTAGTTTATTGGAAGGAATTCCCGTATAGACCTGTTTTCTTACCAAGGATATCACTTGGTGATATTTGGGCACCTGCTTCAACCCGATCATGTGGAAATGATTTCTGGAAAATGTTTAGAACTGCCGTATCCATTCTTCTTTCACAATCAACTCTTCAGGTAAGTCCAGACACAAGTATTCTTTTTCATTGTGGGTGTTACTGTCTTCACTCTCCTGTAACTGTCATAAATAATGTAAAACTGGCAACTTCATACCAAAATTCATTGATAAGTCTATCATCCGTGGAAATTATAGTGCTTCCTATGCTACTGCTTATACAGCATATCTAAATAGAATTATGATATATTTCAGTGCAACTAAGATATAGCATTGGCAAACTGAAAATCCCTGAAAATATCCAACTATCTGCACATTACTTATCTATTGCAGTAACCAAATAACCATTTTGTGTGTGTGTGTGTGGGGTGGGGTGGGGGGGGGGGGAGGGGAGAGAGAGAGAGAGAGAGAGAGAGTTAGGGTATAAAACAATAACAATTGTATGTTACTCCTATGAAGTACCTTTAGGTTAAATTTATGCAATACTATATGATAACGATTGGTGAATAGTGAATACAAACAATATAATATAGCAATCTAGATAGGCACCAAAAAAACTTAAATGTAAACACGAGGATAGAAAACACTGCATTTTTAGAGGGGTCCCAACCTCTAAAGGCCTAGTCCACTACACAAGGGCTGCTCCTCTAGGATTTCAATGATCCACTATCTTTGCCCTTCATTAAATGGTGGTGTAGGCAAACACCATCTATAACATACACAAATACTTCATTGCTACCTGTCTAGGCACATAAATCTGTTGGATAATACAGTCCTTTGAATTTCCATTAGTTTAGGCAGCGTAATCATATTTATATTCAACGTTTTATGTGAAAATGTTGTTCCAATAGGAGCCAGCATTCGAAGAATTAATTTTGCTATATACAAAGGAAATGTGCCAAGGAAATACAGGAGATGAAGTTGAGTTTCCTTCTTTGCAGTTGAAGTTCTATGAGACAATCCCTATTCCAGATTTACCGGTAAGTACTTGAACATTTAAATATTTCTTTCATATATTGTTTGCAACATTTGTATTATTTTGAAGTCTGCCTATGCATTCTGTCATCTCTGGTTTTCATATTAATTGGTATTGTACTATTTGTAGGTGGTTTTTCCTCACAAAAGGTTGTCTTTCCGCATCCTAGATTCGGTATGTTAAAAAGAAGTTGATGCTTTCCCTTCTTACCCTAATCTCCAGCTTCTCCCACAAACTTTTCCCTGTTTTAAGCACGGAACAGTACATTAATAACTTGTGCATTAGTTTTGTATAAGAGTTTTCCATGAATTTATATGGACTTGACCATATGAATTAATCCCATTAAGAGGTTATGAATAAAAAATCTCATGGCCTGAGATGAACATGATCAATCATTGAAACAAAACTGAATTTACATATGGAGGCAATTTGTGGGAGTTGGTACTTTTCGGCAGACCCTATCCATAATTATGGTCAAGTCAGCAGCAAGTTGGAAAGGTTTTTATCCTTGCAGCCTTGCAGTCCTAAATCCATTCTATCCTTTTGTGTTTAGTAAACTAATATAGTAAATGTTAAAGAGTTTCACATTGATAAAATAAGAGAGAATATATGGGTTTATAAGGTCATGGGTTAGACTACTAATAGGTTGGATTCAATCTTTTAGTGTAGTTTGGCCTATGTGCATTATAGTCCAATTGACCCAATTTTATATTATATTGCCCTGTTTGGTAAAAAATTGGCCTATAGGCCAATTTTGGCTTATTTGGCCACTATTAATTGTTTGATTTAGTTAAAATATCAATAAAAATGTTTGGTTAATAAGCTTTTTGCAACTCCAAAAGGCTAAAATTCAAAAAGCTACCCCAAGCAACTTTTTCAATTAGCTTTTTGAGAAAAGAAATTATACCAAACAGCTATCAGCTAATTTACCAAACACTTTTCTACAATCAGCTAATGTTATCAACTATTTATACCCTCTAATTAACAGAATCAGCTAACAGCAAACAGCTATCAGCTAACAGCCATTTTACCAAACAGGGCCATAACATTGTATCAGAGCCTGTTCGGTCCACCCTGTGGTATTGGTGGCGTCCAAGCTTTTGTTTCAGGCAGACCCAAGCCTGCATGTTCGGTTTAAAAGGCCCCAATTGAGTGACCCTGACCCAATCTTAGATTATAATAGTAAATATATTGCATTTGTAATATTATGTTTCTTTTCCTGATCAAATACTTTGAATTTCCTGTATAGGTACGCTTGGATATTGCCTCAATTTTGGGGCTTTTGGCTTACTTCATAAATTACAAATTTGAAGACATATTATCTTCTCCGTATGTATACAATGATATTCAACATAATTGCTTTTGAAGTTTCCCTTGGTATAGTCATAAATGTTTCCATCCAGTTTTCCAACTTGATCGCTATTGACCTTTTCCGGTGTTTCCTTACATCAAATTATGCATGTATACCTTCATAGTTCTATGTATGTGGATTGGTGATTGCCAACCATGTGGCGTCTTTACACGTTCTGTTGACTGGGGATGATATATTTCTTCCAATTGATGTGGGGATCTATTTTGCTTATTATAGTAATGTTTTAATCTGAACACAGATCTGCAATACTTCTAGATGTGATAGCACTCAGTGCACTTGTGATATATGTGACCCGTGTGGTTTTGGGTTACAAACAAACATGGGATAGATATCAAGTGAGTCCAGCACCTCTATTATCTAACTGGTTTGGGACTTAAGAGAACTTATCCTCATTTTACTAACTCCGTTTTAGTTTTATTTAGCTTCTGGTCAACAAGACACTTAATGAGAAAACTATAGCAAGTGGTTTTGGTTCAATTCACTTTCTTCTTGATGCCTCTGAACAACAGCAGGTGAGAAACTTTTTTAACTGGTGGTTTTCATCTGCTTTCTTAATAACTGATTCATCATATCACAGGAAATTGATTATAACTGAGTTTTGCACATGACTAGTTTCTTTTTCCTTTTTGGCTTTTTGCAGTACAAACAAGCCATTTTGGCATATGCAATCCTTCTCAAAACAGAAAATGACAAGGTTTTTCTTTATACTTTCGTTTACTTTCTGTGCATTGACCCTTTTTCTCTTTTATTTGTTTGAAAAGAAATATGCCTTGTGATGATTGGAGGTCTGGTGTAGTCTCTATTACTCAATAAATTCTGTAAAAAAGCAGGGAGGGAACCTTAGCCTGACCTCTAAATAACTGAAACGATGATAATGGGGCTGCTTCTCTTGGAGTATAGGGACTTTATCTGTTGCTACTACTCCATCCACATGTATCGTATTCATTTCATCAGTTGAAGGAGTACTAGATGTATAATGAATGTCCTAACGCTGTTTATTGGAGGTGTTTGAGTCTAGCATGAAGGCAATGTTTTAAATTTACCCCCTTCCGTTTTATTTCTCAATGATATTAAGCTCTAAGAACTAATGACAACGTAGTTGTATGCTTGTACCAAGAGTTCCTGAAAAGCTGATTACTAATCTCTATGATTTGTTCTTACATTCAATGATGCTTTGCATTACGTCTTTGAGCCTTTTAGTTTTATTTGACTGCAGGAGCCTTCTGCTAGAACCGTAGGAGTTGAGTGCAGCGGATTCATGTATAATGTATTCAAGGAAAAGGTAACATTGAAATGAAAATTTATCATGTAATCACAACTTAATTTTTGGGTGACAAGGGAAACCCTCAACTACTGTTCGAGGGTGTGCACTGGATAAATCCCGCCTTGTGATCTTTGCCGGCAAAAGACCACAAGAAGGTAAACCAGTCTATATTTTCCAATTCCCATAGTTGACCGGCTCAAACTAAGAAAGCCAATAGGCCGCTCCTGTTGTCCGTTGGGAGTCAAACTTATAAGTTGTAACCTTGTGGTTACTAAGTCAACAACCTTATCAACTTGGCTGGGGTTACCCCACCGCAACTTTATTTTGAGACTACCATTGGTTGTTTGCAGGTTGATTTGCCAATAGGCAAAGCTGTAAAAACATTGGTGAGGTTGGGTATGGTGGTTGTTGAAAATAGTGTGGATGGAGATGAAGTTTTGCGCGTTATCCCTTGCCTTGGAGCACATGAGATTCTCAAGCAACGTTGGAATTCCTTGGTTCGTTGATACTTCTGCTTATTGTTACCGAGTTACAGATTCTATGTGCATATGAATCTCCTTGTAAAGTGTCGAAGCACAAGTAAATTACAATGTACTGAGTATATGTATATAATTCGAAGTAATTAGCACTCCGGTATATACAATGAGAATATTTTATCAAATAATGTTGGAATGCCCTCGATTACGAGCATAAAGTCAGAAAAAACTACAGCCTCTGGACCGGCGATGAGAAATGCCCTCAATTACGACCATAAGGTCGGAAAAAATTACGGTCTCCGGACCAACGAAGAAAAATATCTTCGATTATGACGGTAAAGTTGGAAAAAATTGCAGTCCTTAGATTGGAAGAAGTGTCCTCGTTTACGATCAAGGAGTTCAGAAAGGATATCGGTCCCTAGATTGGGAAGGAAGTGATGTCCAATGAGGTGAAGCGCACCCTAGTTACAATTGGGTACATGCGCATTCTTTCATCCCGATCCACACAGGATATCGTTTACATGTCATGCGCATGCATCCGAATTGACACTGATGTCCAACGAGGTGAAGCGCACCCTAATTACAACTGCTAACGTTGCTGCTTGTTGATGAGAGAGAGTGAGAGAGAGAGAGCGCGAAGGCTAGAGGTCGTTGGATCCATTTGTTTCTGTCGTCGTTCCTTGCTAATTGAACTTGTCGAAACCACTCTTCTAACACAGGAAACCAATCAATATCATCATCAAGATTTCAGAGACACAAGTTTAGGCATTTTTCCAACACAAGATACCATCAAAACAACACATTTCATGGATTTTGCAACCAAAAGATACTTAGGAAAATACAAGAGATGGACAACATAAGAATGGAAAATAGCATTTTGGTGGACATGAGTTTACCTCAAGAGCTAGCAAATCCAAGCATAAATCTCTTAGGAGCTCAACCTAGCACCCCTTCATCTCCTTACTCATCTACAACCCGAACCCCACCATAAGAAGAAGAAAAGTCTTAAAGATTACAAACTAAGAAGAGAAAATGCATGTAAGAGGAGAATCTCACCACAATCTTCTTGTTGAGACACTAAAGGAAGAATCTTACTAAGGATGTAGATAAAATGAATACCAAAGTTGGAATAATGTATGTATGAAAATGGCGTGTGAATGAAGGGAGGGAAGAGAGAGAGAATGATCTTGGATAAGGTTAAATTTATATACTAGTATACATATACATATATATATATATATATATATATATATTTATTTATTTATTTATTTATTTATAAATCATAAAAGTTGGACTCTTGTAATAAAATACTCTAATAAACATTCTTGGTTTTGAAATTGGGCTTAGTTGAGAATGAATTTATATTGAAAAATAATTATACAAAATAATTTTTGGATTTAAATTTTTACGAGATGTCACACTCTACTCACTTTAAAAAGAGTTTCGTCATCGAAGCTAAAAATTATTTTTAAATGGGATTCAAAATCGGAAAGAGGAGTTTAAATCGGAATAATAATACCAAGAGGAATGAAATGCGGAGAAAGCATTCTAACACAATTCTAAGAGTTCAATCTTAGCCAAGTCCAAGTACCAAATCTACGCTCTAAACAAAAGAGTTAACACTCAATTTAAGATCTATTCTAAAGCTTAAATTCTTACCTTGCTCACCGCTTCGAGAGGTACCGCCAAGGGCATTAGCGTCCAACCTCGTCTCCTGACCAAGTAACTCCGAGGGTTCTTCAATTCCCAGTTTAGCTCCTATGTTTGCTAGTCTCCGGAGTCCACGATCCATCTTGAGGTCAAGTGAAGAAAATCTCAGCTCCATCACCCGCTGCAACTCTCTAATATGAAGTGCCACGGGGTCACCATCTTAGACGGTGTCTTTTGTCCTTTCCTTCTAACTTCCCTCCAGCTCCCATCTTCGTCATCATGGGCCTCTTCGTCGTCTTCTCTTTCGGGCTATTGTCTCCTTTCACCTTCTCCTTCATCACTCTCTGATCCCTCCTCTTCCTGATCTTCTTCTTGGGCTGCAGTTCTCAGCTTCTTGTGCGGGATGCGAAATCTATCAAGGAGTGTTCTCCTTTCATCCAAAAGTAACTGACTCAGTTCAGTAAGGGTAAGGTATTCATTGCCATTTACTTGATACAGATCGTAGAACTTCAAATTTGGGGCGTTGAAAACCATCCTCCCGAACTGCTTAGCTACCTCCCCAATCAAATGTACACCCTCTTGCAGGAAAATCCAACTCAACAGCATTCCATAAGACAGACTCTTGCGGTTAGCATTCTTAAAAAACTCCATATGACTTATCATATGGACATGTAAGTTGAGTCTGATCTTATGCTTAAGAAAGTAAGCAAATGTGCACTCGAAACTGCCAACGTCTTTGCTCTCATTCCTACTAGACAATAGACTCTCACTAATAATTCAAAGTTAAGATTCTTTACTGTCAATTCAGATTTCTCAGGCCTAGTGTCCAAAGAGATGCTATCTGTCCTACCCAACATGTATCGCAAATAATGTTGTTACCCCACGCTCTAAGTCTATATCCAATTCTCCCTATTATATTTTATAGGTCCCACTATGTGCAACCGAAATAATTTAGCAAGTTTTGGAGGGCGCAAACTGATCCTAACATTCTTGACAATAGACTTGATTACGGTGCCTCCTTTAATACGCTTAACTACTATATTGTTATAAAATTCATTCACAAGTTCGGGGTACACAACCCCCTCAACAGTCCAAAATTTCTCTAGCAATCCTTGGTATTCTAAAATATTAACAATCTCAGGTGAAAAATGCGTAGGATCCAAGGATTTACCTTCAATAACTGTGTACTTGGTGTTATCCCGGCTTCCTTCCCCACCACTCTTCTTCCGCTTTGGCATTGAGACAAACAGAGGCGAGAAGGCTGGTTCCTCGAGGTGGCAGCAGGGAGTTCACGTGCTACGCGATTGGGATCGGCTGGAAATAGACATGATCACGGTTCGATTCGAACCGTGTACTGTTGGAATTGAACTGGAACTGGAACTCAAGGGTTCCGGTTCCAAACCGTGAAATTAAAAAAAAAATTAATAATAATTCAACATGTTTTAATTATTTCAAAAGCCATTGGCAGTTTGGCTTCATAAAAATAAAATAGCCAGATGGCTCTAGCCTTCATAGCCTTTGCGCCAGGATTTGCAGGAGGCCAGGAGTGCAGCCGGAATTAAAAAATTAAAACAAGACATACAATATTTAAAAAAAAAAATCACGGTTGGAATTGGAACTGGAACCTTATATTAATGTTTCGATCCGATTTGTCCATTTTCAGAACCAGAACCGACAAATCTGAACCGAAACCGGAATCGTGGTCATGCATAGCAGGAAATATGGAAGTTAAGCGTACTAAAGGAGGCAGTTAAGCGTTGTTGAGGGAGTTGTGTGCTCCAAACTTGTTAAGGAATTTTATCACAATATGTAAGTTAAGCGTACTAAAGGAGGTACCGTAATCAAGTCTGTTGTTAAGAATGTTAAGATCATTTTGAGCCCTCCCAAGCTTGCTAAATTGTTTCGGTTGCACTTAGTGGGAACTATAAAATATGATAGGGAGAATTGGATAGAGACTGAAACTGTGGGGTATCAACATTATCTTCAATACATGTTGGGTAGGACAGATGGCATCTCTTTGGACACTAGGCCTGAGAAATCTGAATTGACAAGAGAGCAAAGAATTTTAACTTTGATTGTTAGTGAAAGCTTATTGCCTAGTAGGAATAAGAGCAAAGGTATTGGTAGTTTGGAATGTACTTTTGTCTATTTTCTAACGCACAAGATCAGATTCAACTTACTTGTCCTCATGATTAGTCACATTGAGTTTGTAAGAATGCTAACCGCAAAAATCTGCCTTATAGAATGTTGTTGAGTTGGATTTTTTTGCAAGAGGGTGTACACTTGATTGGGGAAGTAGCTAAGCAATCCGGGATGGTGGTTTTCAACACCCTGAATTTGAGGTTCTATGACTTGTATAGAGTATATAGCAATAAGTACCTTACACTTGCCGAGCTGAGTCTGTTGCCTTTGGATGAAAGAAGAACACTTCTTGATAGATTTCCCATCCCGCACAAGAAGCTGAAAACTGCAATCCAAGAAGAAGAACAAGAAAATGAAGACTCAGAAAGTGATGAAGAAGGAGACAAGAGTCAGAAGGAGAAGACAACGAGGGGGCCATTAATGACGAAGATGAAAGCTGGATGGAGGTTAGAAAGAAAGGATGTCAAGATCCCGTCCAAGATGGTGCACCATCTAGTGACATTTCAGATTTGGGAGTTGCAACGGGTGATGGAGCTGAGGTTTTCTTCACTCGATCTCAAGATGGACCGTGGACTCTGGAGACTAGCAAACATAGAAGCCAAGTTGGGAATTGAAGTACCTTCGGAGCTACTTGATCAGGAAACTAGGATGGGCGCTTAACTCTTTTACTTAGAGGGTAGATTTTGGGTACTTGGCTAGGTTGAACTATTAGAATTGTGTTAGAATTCCTTCTCCGCATCTCATTCCTCATGACATTATTATACCGATTTAATCTCCTCTTTCCGATTGCAAATCTCATTTTAAAATGATTTTTAACTTCGAGGACGAAACTCCTTTTAAGGGGGGAGAGTGCAACACTCCGTAAAAATTTAAATTCGAAAACTATTTTGTATAATTATTTTCCTATATAAATTCATTCTCAACTAAGCCCAATTTCAAAACCAAGAATATTTACTTAGAGTATCTTATTACAACCATACTCCCAATGAGATTTGAACACTTGATGTCATCAATCATCATGCTTGTAGTTATTTATTTTTGACATATTAATGTAATATATTGATGGTAAAAATAATTAATTTTAAATATTTATAAAATAATATATGAGTTGGAATATAAATATCATGATGGGGTAGTGATGACCTCAGCACCACATAAGCTAAATTAACGGTAATATTAACACCGTTAATTATTGTCCTTAATTGCACAACCTTTTATAGTACAGGGACTAAATTGAACAAAATGAAAGTACAAGGACTAAATTGAACAAAACATTATAGTACATGGATCTCATAGGTACTTTGACCAATATTATCATACTAGTATTTTGGTCAAAGTAACTATAAAGTCTATGTACTATAGTGTTTCGTTCAATTTAGTCTTTGTACTTTTATTCTGTTCAATTTAGTCCTTCTACTTTAAAAAGTGATGAAACTAAGGACAATTCTCCAAATCTCATTAAGAATATGGTTGTAATTATTTATTTTGGACATACTAATTTAATATATTGGTGTTAAAAATAATTAATTTTAAATATTTATAAAGTAATATATGACTATATGAGTAGGAATATAAATATCATAAGCGTCACATAACATAAGTTAACAGTAATATTAACAATGTTAACTACTACCAGGACTATGTGGTCTAATGGTATCTGGGTTGGACTTCCATTTGGAAGGTTGTGAGTTTGAGCCTCAGTGGAGGTGTTATTGGCTCTTTATGTTTCAATAGGTTGAGAAAGTATATGAACAGATACTACATTGCAGCACTTTTTAAAGTACAGAGACTAAATTGAACAAAATAAATGTATAAGGAAATAGCTTAAAATGGGCACTTTTTAAAGTACAGAGACTAAATTGAACAAAATAAATGTATAAGGAAATAGCTTAAAATGGCATATTAAGTGGTTATTTTGTGGTACAATTATCTGTGGGGTCTATTTCCGATTTGGGTCGGGTCAAAGTGGATTTGGATTCTTCGTAATGAGACGAAAAATTGATATATTGTACACTCAAAACGGATAATGGGTGAATGAGATATTGATTTTCAAAGTAGACCCATTTGAGTTGGAAAAGTGAAGGGAAAAAACTTGGGAGTAGCTTTTGTCCCACATTGGTTTGGAAAGTGCATTTGCACCACTATTTATACAAGAGCTCTTTTAAAACTTATTGAATTATATAGCACAGAGGCTCTCTCGCCCTCACGCGAGGGCTTGTTTAGAACTTGCATAAACCTTTCATTGAATACCATACCTA